TGATTCAGTGCGTCATAAGACGGTTAAAATAGAATTCGAGAATATATGGTCAGCATCGGGATATGTAAACCTTCTTCGTCATCCGCTTCATCACCACTCCATATGGTTAGGAAGAAAAATAATGTCGGTCGTGCGGCGATTACCAGCGTCTGAACTCTGTCACGGTGTCAGATCGTTACCCTATTCCTCACATTCAAAACTTTTCCATGAATTTATTCGGTAAGCGTATCTCTTCAAAAATTGAAATTGTTAGGACATATCACTTGGTCCCTGTTCCCCAAGACGGCATTCATAAGACGGCAATAACTACTCCTTTCGGCATGTTCGAATTGAGTCGTATGCCTTTCGGACATCGAAATGCCGCTCAAACCACCAACGGTTTATGGACGAGGTCACTCGCAGTCTCGATTTCATATTTGTATATATCGACGACATTTTGGTTGCCAGTTCTAATCCGTGAGCATAAGCAACACCTGCAAATACTTTTCAAACGTCCGTCCGAATATGATATTAAGATTAACAGTTCTATGTGTCACAAGATTTCTAGTGCTGGTATATTTCCTTCGCAGGATCGCGTAGACGCGATAGTTACCTTCCCAGTACCTAATGCAGCCCGCCAAATACAACGCTTTAAAGGTATGGTTAACTATTACCATTGGTTCGTACCTGATCTTGCTAAATTACTTTCTCCTATTTACATTCATCTTTCTGAGTTACTTAAAAAACCAAAAACTGCCAAAAGCTTTAGTTGGCCTGAAAGTCTCAATGACGCGTTTACGGCGGTTAAGAACACTCTTGTCAGAATCACTGTTTTGGCCCACCCACTTTCGAATGGAACCTTTAGTATCCCTATGGATGCTTCTGATATTGTCGTCGGCGCTGAGTTGCAGCTGCAGCGTGGTGACAACTGGGAACCACTCTCGTTCCTTTTGAGACAAGTCATCCCCGCCGGACAAAAATACTCAGCGTTTAATCGCAAGCTTCTTGCCATTTATTTAGCTATAAAACATTTTCGGTATTTCGTCGAAGGACGCGAATATTCAATACCTACCGACCACAAACCCTTAGTAACGGCTCTTTTCACCAAAACCGAGCGAAGTTCGCGGCAGACCAGACACTTAGATTATTTTTCGCACTTCACGACTGATATACGTTATTTTCGTGGTAGTAATAACGTTGTTTGTCGTTATAAAGGTTTGTCGCGAATAGATAGTTTGAATTCTTCTTCCGGAAAATTAATTTGTCGATCTTGGAAAATTTTCCAAAGCTCAGGAAACTGACGAGGAGTTTAAAACCCTTCTTCCTGACTCGTCATCGAGTTTCAGACTTCAAAAAATTTTACTTCCGGATGTGGACGTGTACTGCGAGGTCTCTACTTTGCGATATCGCCCTTACATTCCAAGCCCTTAGCGTCGCACTTACATTGTTTTTCTCATCCGGGAATTCGGGCTTCGCATAAGCTTGCAACGGAAAAGTATTTTTGGCCGAGGATGAATGTTGACGTCGCGAAATGAACACACGAAATCACAAATCGGGAAATTTGACCTACCTTTGGGCCGGTTCGAGCATAACCAACCGGTGGCAACTCATACATCATTCGACCATTCAGGATCATTAGAAGATTTAGAAAGCGTTTTGTGATAGATATTAACGGGCGAAATTCTTCTATTTCAATTGGCCGTTTAAAGCCTGCATTTAGCATTTTGGCGTCGGAATTTAAAATTCACAAAATCTCACGTCACATTCAATTTAAATAATTCTTGGAGATGGATAAATTTTTCTTACTTTTTTCATTTTTTTTTATTTGCAATTTTCATATTTTATACTAGAATTTTCATTTTGAATCACATTAAATTTTCATATTAAAATTTCTCATTTTAAATGCGTTAGATCTTAAGGGAGGGTGATGTTGAGATCTTTCTCACAAAAGATTCTCCACCCCTGACTTAATTTTTACATTATTGAAATCACTTTCACACACTTTCTTAAATATTAACATACTCTCTTAAACTTGGCTTAATTATGTATATTTAAATCACCTTCATAATGATTCACTTACACATTAATAATTTACTTTAATTTCAAAAAATGAATTAATTGTAAAATTAATTTTTCTCTTATTATAATGTGTATAAATGATTTGAAATTCTATACATATTTTCTATTATGAAAGTAGTCACAGTGCAGCTAAGTTGATTTTAAAAAAAAGAAAACAAGTGTTCCTTAAAATAAAATAATTATAAATGTTTCAATTAAAAAATTAAGTAAATAAATTAAGTAAATGTAATAATAAAAATAGTCGCGAATGAATTAAAAAATTAAATAATAATAAACTAAATTTAAAATTATTGTTTTTTTCTTAATTAAGAACATTAAATTGTCTTCTTGCCAAAATATAGCAGAAAGCCATTGACCGGGCATATCTAAATCAACGCAGAATTTTACGTTGAGCAAGAATATATATACATGTTCATACTCGAGAGGACTAGTTCAAGTAGTTACAAACACCATACCAAAGTGAGTACGAACTACGAGTACACAAAGTTAGTACTTCACGGAGTGCAAGATATAAGAAAAAAGGGAATTTAATTGGTTTTAAAACTTACGCGGCCTCCTTAACTATTGTTATTTTAAATTTGGCCTCCAACTTGATTATATGCACTCTCCGATTTCATGTACATTTTACGAACCAGAACTTACTCGAGCCAAAAATCCTAATTGAAAATTGTAGAAAAAGTTTTAAAAAGAAAAGGAAACTTTAGGCTTTAATAATAGCCATAATTCTTGGATAATCACTTACAATTAATATAGATAAACTTGTTTTAATATAAAAACAAAATTATGTCTATTTGTTCATTAATTTCATTGAATTGCACTAAATACCTACTCGTATATACATTTTTTACATACACTTGATGCCACAGATTTTTCTTATAAATTTATTCACCCTCACTTGCATATATATTTACAATATATTTAAGCATCAATTAAAATTATAACAACACCTACATATTCTTCTTCAATTCAATCAATCACTCAATTATTCCACATGACATCAAACGTCATCATACCTTATTTGCTATACATCAATATTTACAATAAGATATCGATTAAAATTATGATCAATATTAACTTTAGCTTATTGATTTATTTGACTTAACTTATATGATTTATATTAACTAAAAAAGTCGTTCACCTAAATTAATTAATTACAACACTCATTCCTTTACTTTTATTTAATAATTCATATTACATTTATTCGGTATTGAGCATGTATCTACATACTTATTAATTTATAAACGTGCCATTCATTACTCATTTACGTAAAAATGTTATTAACAATACTAATGTCTTTATATCTAAAAAGTCCTAATACTCAATTTTTTAACGAAATATTACGAATTTTTGGTTTCGTTCCTGTTTTTTTCTTTAAATTCCACCGATCGTGTCATATTTCTTATTTTTTCTTTTTTTTACGTAAAAAAGAGTTTTATATTTTAAAAAATCTCAGGATATTATACACATATTTTAAAAAACTTCCCATTTAAATTCTATTGCACGAAAAAGAAAGAAAGGTAGGAGGAGAGAAAAAATTAAAAAAAATTTCAAATTCATATTTCAGTATGGTTTCAAATGTTAATGAGGAAGAATATATGTTATGATTTTTCATGAACATTTTATATTTCCCAATAAGGTAAGTTGAGTAGTGTCGGCTAACAAAAATGTTAATAAAAGTAATATAGGTTGACACATTTCAACAATTTGAAATATCTCTTTTCGGTTATTTATACGTTACTTATAAAATTGTTTCAAATAATTTCAGTTAGTTTTTAAGTTAATAAAAATAAATATGTACTCGTATGTACCTACTTCCAATCAATTTTTTTTTAAATAATTATTTTAAAAGTATTTCAAATATGTTATATTGAGTGCTTGAAAAATGTTGTTGTGCCCTTCTTTCATATTTTATTATCAGGCAAACAAGAGCAATTTATTTATAAAATGGCCCTGCCTGTCAATGAATCTTAATAGTACACGCAAACGGCAAAAAAATTTACGGATATCAGTACCTACTACTTGTCTTTTTACAATCGGAGTTTTTGAGTCATTTGCTAAGATACCATTTATTTCAAAAATAAAAAAGATATTCGAATCCAGTCATAAAAATATATTTTTGTCTTTTCCAAAACCTTTTAAAAATTTTTTTTCTCAGGTGATATATTAAGTTTTAAAAGGTTTTCTCAAATAAAAATAGAGGTAAAATATAGAAGTGTATATAAAATTTGTATTTAAAAAATAATATTTGATTGTATTTTTTAGATATTATTTTCTAATTTCCTCTTCAAATTTTTTCTTTACTATGTATTCATATCAATATTTAATAATTATCTTTCATTAATTATATTTCCAATTGACACCACAGTTACTTCCCATATCTTGAGTTAACTTACCCTATGAGAAGAAAAAAGCTATTCACTTAAAAATAATGAACTGCTTTTAGTACCATATAAAATGTTGAGACGACGGTTGCACTTATTGTTTTTCCGCTTTTTTGTATGTATTTCAAGAATTTTAAAATGATTATGAATGAAAATATTAATATATTTAATTGATTTTTTAAATATATTTTTGGAATTTACCTGCTTCACAATAAGTGTGAATTTATTTTAAAACTTCTTCTCAAAAAGTAGCCACTTCGATTTAAAAAAAACCCATTTAAAATAAGGTAGTGCTTTCAAGTTTCTCTCTTGGCATTGGAACTTGTTAGATATAAAGACATTATATTCACTATAGAAAAGAGCTTTTTCCCAGGACCAACTGCTTACACTACTTTATTTATGCAACAAATACAAGAACGCACTTGTAATGGCATATTATTAAAAAAACGGCGAAAAAGGTCTTATTAAACTTCCTTTTAGTTCGAATCAATATAACACTTATAATATACATTTTGTAAATTTGAATTACTTAACATGTATTAATAAATAATTTGTACTTACAGAGTTTATGTAATTATAAAGTGATAGTCCATCACTCCACGGATCTTCAAGTTCACATGATAAGTTTTTAGGTGTCATTGAATGACTTATATCTAATTCTGTCAAACCGGCAGCGAATACATAAACCGAATCAAACATAAGAGCTGGTTCCGTCTACAAAAGCATAATATATAGTTCAATAACAAATATGTATATAGGAAATAATTATATAATTATCCGATAATGTACATATACTTGTGTATGACATCTATTGAACAATGTCACAAATCAAAAATATATTATATCTTACGGTTTTTAAGTTTAAGTTTCGTAATATTTCTGTAATATTGCAAAACCTTAATATATTAAGGTACAGTTTTTGATTAGTATTAAGAATTTTCTCTACTGTATTACTTTGCATTTTCTTGGTGAAACAATCCAAAGCAACCATTCATTTTGCAAATTTCTGTGCCATTTCAAGGCCCACAAACACTAATTTAAAGTTTACTAAACAAAATTACACCCTTGCGTTTTAAAAAAGTTTTTGAATATTGTATTTTTTCCAAAATAAATGGCAGTTTTGCATTGATATCAATATGAATATCTAAGTGTGGAAGATGAAACATGGAGTGTAATTATGAAAAATCTTCTAATACCGATTTCGTTTTAATTCAAGTTAATTTAAACGAAAAAAAATATGAAAATTTATACTATGGTGTTCAATCTTTCTGTTTAATATATAACACACAGGGTGAAACCAATAGGACATTTTGGAATTTTTTATCAAAAAGTTATTGACAATTAAATAATATATATTGACATTTAGTATACCCTAAACTGGAATTTGTAATTTTTGGAATCTTTTATTTTTCTGTTCTTAAATGCAGTTTAAATTATTAAGTAAGAAATTTTGGAAAATACGAAAAAGATAAAAAAATATTACTTATATTAATTTTAATAAGATTTAACAAATTTGCAATTATATTTTTCGGTACTTCAAAACAAAATTGAAGGTTTCAAGAAGTTTCCTGTTAAATTAAGGATGAAAAAGACAAAGATGTAATCTTTGACGGTAAGTACCATATATAAATTAAAAATGCACTTACTAATGAATCACTCTGTAAATTTTTAACATTATGTGGTAATGATATTTAAATTACTATTACACATTATAATACTTTCACTTCATATTTAACTATAAAATATTAAGTTTAGAACAGACTAGATCGCACGAAACAGAGTGATAGAATATGTCCAGAAGAATAAAAAAATAAGGGCATTTTTCTCCATAATTTAGGAGACCTTAAAGTTGGTCTTGGTTAAAAGACATTATGAGCCCATTTTGTCACTTTGCTTCGACAGTACCATTAAGTCTCGGATACGCTTTCTAAAAAAAATCAACTAACAAGACTTCTCAAAAAAATAAAATTACATATTTTGTTTACCTGAATTGAAACACTTCCTTCTAAAATATTTTTATCACTGTATTGGAACTTTCTCATTTGCTCTGCAATATCTAAATATTCTTTACTTTCAATATCAACTAAACGAAATGCTGTAATATTAACGCTATTATATTTGAAATCTTCCAAATCGAACGTTTCGATATCCTATATAAAATGACAAACAGAAGTAAATAATAATAAAAACAAATATTTAAATAATTATTAAATTTCTATATATTACATAAAAAAGACCCCAACATCTTATAATATATGTGTTGATCTAATTAAAATCAAAAACCCATACCGCGATAATACCAAATCTATATACTTTCAGGGGATTCAGAAAGTATACAACAATATATACCATTAAATAGAGGATCAAAAATGGGTACCAAATCTCAAGATTTTCCGAAGTGCAGGGGTTTTAACGAATTTTCAGGAAAGTTTTACTTGTCCTAGTCAAGTAAAGCTTAGGTACCGAAAAAGATAGAAGCTTCAAACTAACAGTTTTTGATATGGTTAATATCAAAGTGTTAATAGATGACTAAAATCAGTACATAATTTTTTTTTTTTGTAATTTGTGTTTTCGGAAACACAAGCATACAACACTTAAGTTGTTACATAAAAATATATATTTTTGAAATATAAAATAATTTTATATAAATAATTGATATAAAATAATAAAATTTAAAAAAGGTTTTAAATGAAATTTATTTTTTTGTTATAAATTTGTATTTACACCCGCGCGTACAAATGTTCTAAAAGTATATAATTTTTATTAAAGCTATAACTGAAATACCAATTTAGCTAATCCTGAATGGTTGGTAATTAGTAAAAAAGCTATGAATGGTTGGGCCAATTAGTAATAGATATTATCGAAAGAGCCTTATTTAATTTGCCAAATAGTGTTTTAACAGCAATTCAAGGAGCTCTGATGCAGCTCCATAAATAAATTAATCATATCTCGCAAACTCTACGTTGAGGTCTGCAGTATTTAAACTTTGCATAAGTAAGTAAGTAAGTTACCAGCCAACCTCCCTGGTGAAGTCCAAAAGACGCTCAAGAGAACCCCGAAAAGGTCCCCCGGGCCATCGTAAAAATAAGCCCCCAAGACACGCCTTCTCTTCAACATCAGAAACGGACAGGACCAGAGGACATTCTCTACATCCTCCACCTCCGCCACATCCCGACATCCACGCCATACATCCGTCATAGCAACCTCAAGCCTCCTGGCCATTTTCCCCAAAAGGCAATGCCCCGTCAGGACCCCCACTAGTGTGCTGAGATCAGCATAAACAATGAAAGTAGTGGTAGGATCACAACTCCAATAAAATTTGGGAATCAAACAATTTCAAAAATAATTTCTGTTAAACCCATATAAATTTCAAAATATAAAACCGAATAAGTAATAAAACTTTTCTAAAAATATTAGTAATAAACCCTTTTGTAAACTTTGTATTAGTAGTACAGATTATGTGTATTTATTATATTATAAGTATTTATTATACTTTAGCGGACTTAAGAGTTTTGTCAAAAGGTCAAGTCGTGATCACGGGGAAAGTTTTAAGCTCACGGGAAATCGGGGTCGACTTGTTTCTCAAAGGACTGGTATTAAAAAAAATACCACTTCCTTTCTTTGGAGTTGTATGGCAGCTACCCGAACCAGTACAGCAATTCCATTAAACTTTTCAGAACATATGTTTGGACACATTTAGATTAGATATTAAAAATTGGACACATTTATATTAGATATTAAAAAATTTGATATTAATATCTTTATTAGTTTTTGAAATATTTAAAAAAAACCTCTTTGAGTTGAATTCTAGCTATCCGAACTCGTTGTTCGAACTGGCCCAATTACAATAGCAGCCGTCATTTGCGCAAAGGAAACAACTTGTGAAAGTTTGGTGTCGATTGTATTATTCGTTTTTGAGTTTTCATGCGATCGCATGGACGCACATAACTCGATGATATGTCTAAATCAATTTTACGCTGAGCAAGAATATATATATATGTCCATACCAGAGACGACTCCTTTATGTGGTTACAAACTCCATACCAAAGTGAATATACCCTTCACGAAGTGCAAGGTATAAAAAGATAATAATTACCAGCCTCTTAGTCTTTAAGCAAAAAGAAAAGAGAGATATCGAAAGTAAAACAATGTAAAATGTTGTAAATGAAATGAAAAAATCTGATGTGGTCAGCACAAAACCGACCGCAATGTGTATTGTCTAGTTAAGTGAAAAGATTACAGAATATTATAAAAATGTCTCTTAAATACTTGTTTCCAATTTTTAGGACATTAGTAAGCTTATAGTTAACATACCTAGAAAAATGTAAATTTGGCTCTTAGTAGAATTTCACTTTGTGCTAACCGAATTCCCAGAAATGCTCGTCAGCTAGTTTCGATAACAACCAGAACTCAAATATCAAATTTCGAGAAATTCCATCAAATCGCTCCGTAGATATGGTGAAAAATGTAAAATCGGCCCGCAGGTCATTTAGAGCCCTGATCTTTTCAAAAACTTCATTGTTTTTTTAAGAAAAATTTAAATATTAACTTTCAATGAAATCGGTTGATTATTTCTCTTTATATACGCAAAATTGCATATTTGACCCGAATGAAAAAAACATTATTCTTTTTCTTTCCATATTTATTCTACAAATTACATACATACGAGTACTTCATTACGCTTTGCACTTATGATTATGTAATACTGTGGTTACCGTCAAAAGTTTTAAAAAATCTGTCGGAATTTATTACTTCTTACATACATCCATATTGACATTCAAAAACTATCTCCCAAACTTTTTCATATTACAGGATTCATTTCACGAAAGCAATAGTTAACAATGGTTTTTAAATTTAACGTTTTAAAACGATTGCAGTTTTTTAAATATTACCCCATTATTGACGAATGTAAAGAAAAAAAATTATATAAATTTATTATTTGTTCCTTATATAACTGTTTTAAAGATTTCAATTTTTAAAAAAATATTAATTTAATAAAGTTGGTTCAAACCAATGGTTTGATTATAGCACATTTTCCTTCAACAATTCGTGAAAATACTGTTATTGAACACAGTCTAGTATATCTACCACACTATTAAAAATATTTTCATTCATACACGAAACTATTTCTACGATTGCATATATTTAGAATGAAGGATTTATGCAGTCTTTGAAATAAAGCAAAAATTAATTTAAAGAGGTGTTAATTGTGAATAATGGTTAATTGTGAATTTAATGGTTAATTGAGTGAGTTAAGAAAAATAATTATATCAAGAGACGATAACTTGAGAGGGGGTGGAGATGGAAAAAAATTTTCTTCAAACGAAATAAACTATTTATTAGTATCTAAAAGCTGCTAAAATTTCAGGCCCCTACAACCTGGAGTCTAGAGAAAAACTACATCAAAAATTTGGAAAAAACGGATTTTAGATGACGATAAATCTGAACGGCCATTTTGGTTTTTAAAGTTTAACTATAGTATGCCACGATAAGAGAAGCAAGCCGCTGCCTTTCTGCGTGTGCAAAATTTGAAAAATGCTAATGTTTTTATCACAACAAATGGCCAAAAAAAGGCCATTTTTAGGGTTTTAGGGGGGTACAACTTTTAGAGGGGGTGAGATAGGTAAATATTTTGTTCTACGGAAATAAGTTTCTAGTAAGGATCTATGCACATATGAAATTTCAGCTTTCTATCTTCAAGGGTGTAAAAGTTTTGTAAACATGTCCACGGACGGACGAACGGACGGACAGACGGACGGACGTACAGACGGACGAACAGACGGGCAGAGTGAACACAATAGATAGGTTATGTGATGGCAACAAATTTTGCATATCGAGTTTTCGGTGGGAACGCACTTCTCCATAGTAGGGAAGTGTAAATAAACTATTTTTAGCAACCTGTCGGTCCGTCGGTCTCTCGGTCTGTCGATTTGTCGGTCTGTGTGTGCACGCGTGTATCTCAAGTTCGGCTGAACCGATTTTAATGAAATTTTATATGTAAGTTTATTTCGACCATGACACGCACGACATGGCATTGTTCAACTTTTGGAATATATCAGGCCTCGGGAACTGCACTTACGTGAAATTTCATATATAGGCTCCGCTCGAACGTTCGCGAAATCTCCTAACTTTTGGAAGAAATCAGGTATCACCTGACGTTTACTACGGGCCAAATATTAACTTTTGAAAGAAATCAGGTAAACGGGACGTTTACTACCGGCCAAATATTAATTTTTGCGTATGTAAAGAGAAATAATCAACCAATTTCATTGAAATTTAATATTTAAATTCTTCGTATTAAAACAATGAATATATAAAATTTAGATTATATTCATTGAATATGATCTTTCCAAAATTCTACCATTTCTACGGAACGAATTGATGGAATTTCTTGAAATTTGATATTTGAGTTCTGGTTCTGGACTTTTCCCTTCCACAAGTTAAAATAACTGCTTTTAAAAACAATATATGTATACCTACTACACTACTAAAATTGCTTTCAGTCATATACAAAACTATTTTAAGGATTGTTTATATTCAGGATGAGCGATTTATGCAGTCTTTAAAAACAAAAATAAATTTAAGAGGATGTTTATATAATACTCGATTTTAAGGGTTAATTGCATGGGTAAGAAAAATAAGAAATATAAGGTTTCAAAAATCCAAATTTTACAAATTTCGTGAGGCGATAACTTGAGAGAGGCGGGTGGTTGGAAAAAAATTTTCTTCTAACGAAATGAACTATTTATTAGTATCTAAAACATTTTAAAATTTCTTACAATCTACGGGCTAGAAAAAAAACGATATCAAAAATTTGGAAAGAAACGAATTTTAAATAACGATAAATTTTAACGGCCCTTTTGATTTTTTGAAATTCAAATACAAAATGCCGTGGATATCCACAATATAAAACCGTTGATACAAAATTTGTTCACGTTTATTCATGCCGAATATTCTGAATCCGCATTATTACCGATCGCATTGAATACAATAAGGTAGGTTATGTGATGGCAAGAAATTTTGCATATCGAGTTTTCAGTGGGAACGTTCGGAAACCGAACTAGGGACCGAATTTACATTTTTTGTTATGTCTAACTTGTTAATGGAATTTCTTGAAATTTTGAGTTTTGGTTGTTAACACAGCTAACTGGCGACTACTTCAGGGAATTCGAATGGCACAAAGCCAAATTTACAATTTTCTAGGTATGTTAACTTATAGTTTACTTAACACCTTAAAAATTGGAAAGGGGTATTTAAAAAGCATTTTCATAATATTGTGTAATATTTTCACTTAACTAGACAATACACATTGCGGTCGGCTATTTGCTGGCCACATCAAATTTTCTTATATATATAATATAATAATACACAAATTGTAGCCAGATTTACGATAAAAAGAGAAGCGTATGAAAAGAGAAGACGAAGACAAAACATGACAAAAAAAAGCGAAAAATGTTTTCTCAATGTTGACACATTTTATGTTATGTTGATGTGTACCGTATTCGTAAAATCGTTTCGTGTAAAGTGTATACAGACAGATTTTACTCACAAATTTAATAAGCCTGCTACGCAACGAAAGCTATTACATATTATTCATTCTTAACTTAATACATATTATTACCGACCGCATTGTGTATACTATAGATAGGTTATGTGATGGCAACAAATTTTGCATATCGAGTTTTCGGTGGGAACGCACTTCTTCATGGTAAGGAAGTGTAAATAAACTATTTTTAGCAACCTCTCGGTCTGTCGGTCTGTAAGTGCACACGTGTATCTCAAGTTCGGCTGAACCGATGGAATAGTTTTATATTTTGTGATGTAAAACTCAAGATCATTTCAATTTCACTACAATGAATATTATTGGACCGATATGGATGTATATCCATCCTGATTCAATTTAAAATTTTCATTCCTACCTTAAATTAGGAGCTTTTAGAATAATTAGTCTTCATAAATACTTGAAATTTAAAACTTTTCATACTTACGAATGTGGTAAACATATAATGATATCTGTAATCATTCATTTGTAACTGCAATATCTGCAACAAATTAGAATTCTTTATTTTAATTTTAATGTAATATAAATTTTAATTTTTTTCTATTTAATAAAAAAATTACCCTATACGAGTATTGAGAAAAATTTTCTAAATTAGTTATTTTTTAAACAGAACAGTCACAAATTATATTCGAAATCACGACAATAACACTTTAAAGCTAATTACATAAATGTTTTTCCTACCCCTTCATTTTTACCATTTTCCCAAGAAAAAATTGAAAAAAAAAGCCTGTTAGTTTCACTCTCTGTCCGTCCGTCCGCAGACATGTTCACAATACTTCTACACCCCTGAAGTTAAAAAGTTAAAATTTTATATGTAGATCGATCTTTACAGGAAACTTACTTCCGTATAAGAAAATTTTTACCTATCTCACTCCCTCTAAAAGTTATTGTCCCTTAAAATTCTAAAATGCCATTTTTTAACTATTCATTACATCGAAACCATAAGCATTTTTCAAATATTGCAAACGCAAAATAATAGTGGCTTTCTTTTTCTAACGCGGCATACCATACTTAAACTTTAAAAAAAACAAATATTAACAAATTTTTAATTTTAAATTAAAAACTTAAAAATAAAATTTACCGTTATCGTTAATGTAAAAATAGTGGCCGTTAAAATTTACCGTTATCCAAAGTTTATTTTTTCCAAATTTTTGGTACCGTTTTTCTACACAATACGTTGCAGGAGTCTGAAATTTTAGCAGCTCTTAGATATTCATAAATAGTTTATTTCGTTATTAGAAATTTTTTTCCTACTGCGCCATATCTCAAGTTATCAATTTGTAAAATTTCAATTGTTGGTACTTTATAAGCAGAAGGCTAACGGCCTTCTTAAATGCCATGCCATTAAAAAATATAATTATTTTTCTCAATTCACGAAGTTAACCCTTAAAATCGAATATTATCTTAAAGCCTTTTTAAATTTTTTTTTTGCTTTATTTCAAAAATTGCATAAATTGCTCATCCTAAATATATGCAATCTTTGAAATAGTTTCGCATGTAAATAAAAGAAATTTTAATAATTTAATACATTTGCCGGATTGCTTCTAAAAACGGTATTTTTATTTCTTGCGGGGAAAAGTGCTAAATTACAAACTATTGGTTTGACACACCTTTACGAGTACTATATTGAATATAATTCACAACATTTATTTCTCAAGGGATTGAGAAATATTTATAACACATAACAAAAAAATTTTTCTGATTCAGTATTGTTTTTATTTAAATACCGACAAACTTGTGCCCATCAAAACATTTTTTATTCAGGTACATTTTTATACGAAAAACAAGAAAGGGTTATTGCCAAAAAGACTATTTCTATAGTTTTGTTACAACATTCATAATATATCAAAATTGGATCATCTACAAAATTTCTATATAATATCTCCCTTTTAATTTTATTTTATCCATATAATAGAAATAATTTTAGCACGTTTTACTATAAAAAGTATTGAAATACGTTTGTGTTATGTAAACATGTAAATTATTTCTACTTTAAAAAAAGCATTACGAGCTATTAAAAATTTTATTTACAAACAAAAATATAATACTTCAGATATTATGCTTTTTTTAGAGTATATACAAATGAGTGGTTAGGTTTATTCCAATGTATAAAGTAAATTCAATGCTGCCAAGCGTGCTATTAAAATTTTTCGCAGCATTAAAGTCTAGGGCACACGATTGCCTATGCAACAAACTTTCTAAATCCTCTTCAACAGCATCTAGGAATCTCTTTCTAGGCCGACCACGCCTTCTACACCCATTCGGGTTATTTTTAAATATTTTACTAGTTGCTTTTTAATAGGGCATTCTTATTACATGCCCCAGTCACTGAATTCTTTGCGCGAATTTTTATAAAACGAGTTATAGTTTGATTTTCAGCAAGTTTGTCGAGTTCTCCGTTAAATCGTGTACGATAATTACCATCTTCCATCTGTACTGGGCCATAAATTTTTCACAGTATCAAATGCTTGCTGAAAATCTATGAATAAAAGTGTAGATCGATCGAATATTCATAACACTTTTCAAAAATTTGCCCTTAAGTGAAAAATTGATCCGTTCTAGATCAATTTTTTCGAAACCAGCATTTGTAACCACCTATTATTTCCACAGCATAAATATCAATTCTACCAAACAGTATATTGGTTAGCACTTTGTACCCAGAGATATACCATAATGATATACCACGATAATTACTGCAGACTGCCCTACCTCCTTTTTTGTAAATCTCAGTCTGCCATATTTTTATTTAGTTTTTTATATCGTGTCTGCTTATCTTATTACATGTAGCTGCCAGTTTATCATAGAAGACATCCTTAATCTGTTCAATACTTTCTTCGGCAGGAGCATAGATAGATATTACTGAAACGTTCTGAAATTTACCTTTCAGCCAAATGTAGCAAATTCTTTCATCAACTGGCCTAAAAGTGAGAGTTTCTAGTACGTCACTGTAAAATATGAAGTAGTGCCGCTTTTTGACTTCACCATGCCCCGCCATCGAATTTCTTGTAGTCCAGCTACACTTATTTTGTATTTAATCATTTTATCTGCAACCTCTGCCACCACACCTCGCTGAAGCATTGTTCGTACATTCCAAGTAGCTATCGTAAAATCATTGTCCTTTAATACTTGCATGAGTCTATATCTTTGAGTTCCACCTAACCGAGGTCTTGCTTGTAGATTCATGACAATCAATTACTGGTGAGAGGTTGTCAGCCTCAAGACCAGTCCTCTCTAGAGGTGCAGATCACTTCGCTTCTTTCGTTCTCCTTCCTTCTTCTAGGATTTCTTTCGCCGAGGGTCAGTTACCCAGTGTCCAGTTAGAATTAGCAGCACCACCACTTAAAGACGAAGCAGAAGATTGAGGATCAGAGGGGGGATGTTCAACAGTTTATTGCCTCTCCAATTAATTAATATTTTAATTTTTCGTTACTTTTTTCTAATTTTTACCCTCTTTTTAGCACTTTTCCAAAAAATTTTTGAAAAAATTGCTTATTAGTTTCACTCTGTCCGTGTGTCTGTTTACAAAACTTCTACACCCTTGAAGATAGAAAGCTGAAATTTTATACGAACATAGGTCTTTACTAGAAACTTATTTCCGTAGAACAAAATTTTTACCTATCTCCCCCCCTCTAGAAGTTATACCCCCCCAAAATCCTAAAAATGGCCTTTTTCAACTATTTGTTGCAATGAAACCATAAGCATTTTTGAAATTTTGCAAACGCAGAAAGACAGCGGCGTGCTTCCCCTAGCGCGGTATACTATAGTTAAACTTTAGAAAAACAAAATGGCCGTTCAAATTTACCGTTATCTAAAGTCCTTTTTTTCCAAATTTTTGATGTCGTTTTTCTTCTAGACCCCAGCCTGTAGAAGCTTGAAGTTTTAGGCGCTTATAGACATTAACAAATAGTTCATTTCGTTAGAAGAAAATTTTTTTCTATCTTCATCCCTTCTTAAGTTATCGCCTCTTGAAATTTGTAAAATTTGAATTTTTGGCGCCTTATATTTCCGAAACCGCAAACGTTTTCAAATTTCTATAAACACAAAAAGCTAGCGGCAAATTCCATGTTATTAAAAAATATAATTATTTTTCTTAACTCACACAATTAATCCTTAAAATCGAGCATTATGTTAACCCCTCTTTATATTAATTTTTTCTTTATTTCAAACACTGCATATATACATCATCCTAAATATATGCAATCCTAGAAATAGTTTTGTATATGAATGAAAATAATTTTAATAGTGTGATAGGTATACATAGACTGTATTTAAAAGCAGAATTTTCACTTGTTGAAGGGAAAAGTGCTACAATACAAACCATTGGTTTGACCCAACTTTATTTATTTCCCTATATGCACTAAAAAAATGAAGTTAATAGAATATTATGTAAGTTCACATCGAAAATTTTTAATTCTATTATAATTTTTCTAATGCCCCTCCTAAACAATTTTAGTAAAACGGTAATACTTGAAGGTTGTTCGACATTGTTTACTATGCAATTAATGTTATTACATAATAAAATTGGGTTGAGCCAACAGTTTGTAAAGAAGCGCTCTCTTTTAACAAGCAAAACTACTGCTTTTGAAACCAATATGTTTTATTATATACATATATATATCGACTTCTGAGGTGTCAAAAAGGACTGGTACTTTTAGAACCTAGAACTAGAACTAGAAGTAGAAAATTAAATGATACTTGAAAATACAAAATATTCACATATTTTTTGGATGAGCCGGAGCAGGATTAGATAAATCTCAGTTATTATCAAGGACATCAGATGTTTTGTGGCATCTGAATATTAATGCTTCATTTGTTATTGATTTGTATTGTAGCACTTTTCCCTTCAACAAGTGAAAATACTGCTTTTAAAATACAGTTTATGTGTATCCACCATTAAAATTGTTTTCATTCATAAACGAAACTATTTCTAGGATTGCATATATTTAGGATGAACGATTTATTCAGTCTTTGAAATAAAACAAAAATTAATAAAAAGTAGGTTTAACATAATGCTCGATTTTAAGGGTTAATTATGTGAGTTAAGAAAAATAATTAGATTTTTTAATGTCATGGAATTTACCGTTAGCTTTTTACGTTTATAGAAATTTGAAAAACATTGCGGTTTCGGAAATATAAGGCGTCAAAAATTCAAAGTTTGCAAATTAGTATTAGGCTGGCGTCTAGAAGATAACCGACATCAAAAATTTGGAAAAAACGGACTTTAGATAACGGTAAATTTGAACGGCCATTTTGTTTTTCTAAAGCTAACCTATAGTATACCGCGCTAGGGGAAGCAAGCCACTGCCTTCCTGCGTTTGCAAAATTTGAAAAATGCTTATGGTTTCATTGCACTAAATAGTTAAAAAATGGCATTTTTAGGGTTTTGGCGGGGAATAACTTCTAAAGGGGGGGAGATAGATAAAAATTTTGTTCTACGGAAATAAGTTTTTAGTAAAGATCTATGCAAGTATTAAATTTCAG